CAGATCATTAAAATTATCGTACAATGTCCTGCCTTACAAAGACATTTTGTGAGAATAAATGTGTTTAACTTACAAAGCTTTTTGTACAAAATATAATTATATTAATTATTAATGGTAATCATCAACAACAACAACTTCTTACCACAGGCCTGTTCTTGGAGAAAGGTGAGTCTTTGGGTCACTTTTTCACTTAGGTGTAATTAACAGTTTTGGACCATCATTAAAGTTGATTCCCTCCTTGGACTATTACTATATCATTGCCTTTCTCTCCTTGCAATTAATCCACAGGAGATGACCCATGCAAGTTTGAACTGTGCCCAGGGAGAAGCAGGGAAAGGAATATGAAACAGGCAGTTTTGGGAATGCTTAAATAAATTGACCTCCTAGAATGCCACCTACCTGTTTGAAGGGATAAGTTAATAAAAAAAATGCCCATTCGCACACAAGTGTCCCCCCCACACACACACACACATTGGTGCACAACCAGCTTTTCCATTCTGAAAGCACAAAAGGCTGTCTAAGACTTTTGATATGCAAAAGTATCAAATCTCATTTCAGGAGATTCATTCTTGAACTCTACAACTCAGGAGTAGATTGCCTCAAGTAAGCAGAATATCAGACTTAACTTCTTTGAGCAAAATAGGCCTTTTTGCTCAGTTTTTCAATGCCTGACATGCTTAGGATTCACATCTGCTTACAGATAAGAATACAAAACTACCACCACTTTTATTATCTCAGAACAAGAGGTGACCCAATTAAGCACGTTTTATTAATTAAAGGAATAGGTTTCAGTATTTTGCTTATATAAGTTTGGATATAGATTAACATGATGCTTTGTTAGAGACCCAGAAATATCCCAGCAACTACAGTAAAAGAAGCATTCATACTGTCAGAGAAAAAGAAATTTTTTTCTAAGATATCAAAACAATATATAAGACTTCATTGAAAATTATATCCCAATAAAAGCTATTTCTACCTACATTTGATTGGAATACAGTGTAAAAATACCCTTGAATTTGCTCTACCTGAGATCTAATTTATAGCAACACAAGAAAATAGTCCAATTAAGTTATTAAAATACAATAATGTCAAAGGAAGAAGGGAAGCTCAATCAGTAAGGAGGTTGATCCACTAATTCCCCTACTTTTTTTTGCCTCAGCCTTATATTTTGGGTTTCTCTGTACAGACTAATCTCTCAAACTGTCATCACAGAGGTTGGATCTGATATACCATCCCCAAAAACCTTCCTAGGGCAAGAATTTTAATTGAATCGGATGTTGCCACTTCCATTTTCTTGTGAGATAAAATGAATTCCTTACTTAGGGCGGTGAGGTTGGGGAGAGAGGAGAGGAGACAGATTTCCTACTAGGCCACCTACAACTCAACTAGTCAAAGTTTCCTTCCTTCCCTTTCCTTCCTTCCTTCCTTCCTTCCTTCCTTCCTTCCTTCCTTCCTTCCTTCCTTCCTTTCTTCCTTCCTTCCTTCCTTCCTTCCTTCCTCCCTCCCCCCCCCATTTTTCAGCAAGGACTTACAAATTGCTGATCAAAAAACAGTCTTTAAATACAACTGGGAGTCATACCGGTAGATGGCTGTGGGGGAGGTGGGGATTGGGGCAGGGGAAATGGATAGAGAGCAAGAAGGAGTGAGATAATGTCCAAAGCCATAACCCTTCTGGAAACAATTAGTCTCAGATAAGGCTGAGGATCTCTGCTCAATTGCTCCTGTTGCATGTCTAAGGAATAAGGTCAAATAGCAACAACAGAACAAACAAGCTTAAAAAGGTGGGATGATTTCCACAGCACGAAGGTCCCCCCCCCCCCAAGATGGAGGGATGGTCAATTTATTTCTAGGAGAAAAAATAATCTTACTCTGATTAATAATTTTCTCTACTTATTGATGCCCCTGGAATTTGAATAAACTTTCATCACCATCCTCCTTTCCTTGTATTCCTGGCCTTATGGGCAATTTCCGAAATAGTTTTAAAAAACAATAGAACCTACAATCAAATTAAAATATATCATAATCATCAAGGTGGTCTCCCCTCACCTTGTGATGAGATGGGCAGCAAATAAATTTAATAAATAATCATATAGAATTGCAGGACATACATTGGTGAAGTGAGGCACAGTTATGCACTTGAAATAAATAGGACCTGCAGCTACAGATGTATCTAAGACTGGAAAGTGTTCAGTTGTGTTCAATCAATAGGATGTGGAGGGGAAAAATGTCGGGAAAGACACATTCAGAAAAAGGGGACTATAAAGCAGAGGGCTGGCCCTGCCCTCAGTTGCACCACAGAGGGCTGGCCCTGCCCTCAGTTGCACCCCAGCTTCCATCTGTGTGTATGTGTGTGTGTGTGGGGGTTCTCTTACAATTCCCTCCTCCTTGTACCACATGCAGTTTCATCATGCATCAAGCCTGGCCAGCCATTCCTGGGCTCAGAAGTTAAAGGGGTGGAGCCTAGTTAGTACTTAGCTAGGAGACCACCAGGAAATCCCAGTACTGTAAACTATAATAGGACATGAGTTAGAGGGGGAGTCACAAGGCAGCAACAGCAAGCACCTTCTGTCCTGCTGCCAAAAAGACCTCAGCAGGAACATGATCCAGAAAGCACCAGAACTGAAGCCTAACCGAAAGGAGAATGAACTTTACCTACCATTGCACAATATTTTTTTCCCAGGCAACTGAGATGCACCCTTTACACTGCGCTTCATGGAAGTATGAGACCTGGAAAACTAGGGCACTTTATAAAACTAGAGGCAGTATATGGCCAACATATTAAATCTAGTTAGTTTTAATCTAATTTCATCTGTGTTAATTGTGAATTGGTTAATAGTGTCTAAGGGTGTGTGTGTGAGAGAGATTCGATTACTTTATGCTTCCTTTGTCGAAGTAGAAAATGTGTGATTTACTTCGAAAACAAAGTGTAAATATGAGGTTCTAACTCAGTAAGCCGGAAGGCATTGTCTTCCAGCCAAGGGCATCGGTGGTCCTCCACCTCTTTCAGGGAGGATAACTCAGTAATATGCAAAGAAGCGCCGCTCAGTTGGCCGCGGCTGAAGGCTCCAGGCCGCAGGGGTAGGCAACCGTGGCTCTTTTATGACTCGTGGACTTCAACTCCCAGAATTCCTGAGCCAGCACAGCTGGCTCAGGAATTCTGGGAGTTGAAGTCCACGAGTCATAAAAGAGCCACGGTTGCCTACCCCTGCTCCAGGGTGACTACGAAGCCGAGAGATGCCAGGAAGGGCATGAAAGCTGCCTCACCCCGGGTCTCTGCCGCTTTAGCTGTCCCGAAAAGACCAGCTTTCCCCCTCCCCCCCTGCGCCTGGGGCCTTAGCACGTGAACCGGCAAGTCCTGGGTCTTCCCTCCCAAAAGAAGCAGGCGCCCGGTGGAAAGCGGTTCTAGCCAGCGACACGAGTTAAGGGAGACCCTTGAAAAGGAAGATACCCCTTTCCACCTGGCGAAGAGGCTCTTGAAAGAACCTTGAGTGGAAATCTCCCTCACTCCACCCGAATGCTGCGCCCGCGCTGACCCTCGACGATCCGGATGGAGTCTGCTCCGACCCGGAGCAAGCAGCTCTCCTCCACCGCTGGCCGGCCCAGACCTCTCCGAGTTAAAGAGGGAGCGGAAGACCGGCCTTCCCCTGGATCCCCCTCTCCCTCCTCTCAATGGGTCCAGTCCGGCCTGCCCTCCTTTAGCCGGAGCTGGACTGAAGCGGGGCGGCGGGGACGGCGGTCCTAGTGGGATCCTTGGCGAGTGTCCAAGCTAGCGGGGCCAATTCTGTCTGCCGTAAGTCAAAACCCCAGGGCTGCAGATACGGAAGCTGGTCTCCCCCCCCTCTACGCGGGTCACCGATTTAGCACGCGTCGCTTTTTGTAAGCGAGAGGCGGTCCTCGAGAACGGGCGGCGGGGAAGACGCCGGGGAACACAGTTCTTTACCCCGGGTGGGGCGACCAGGCCGGGTAAGGTCACCAGCCCTGACCCTGGGCGAGCCGGATTGCTTCAGCTGCAAGGGGCCCGGCCTAAGGTTTCCAACGCTCAGACTTCCTGAAGGTGATGGGAACTGCAGCCCGCCGCACCTAAAGGGTTTAGCTGGGCCGCCAAGTTGAAAGCGCCCTAAGTGAGGAACCGCGGTGAGCCTTGGGAGTGGCGACTGTCTGCGTTTCTGCGGCTCATGCGCAGAATTCATACCCCGCGCCTTCCCATTGGCGTTCAAGGAGGCTAATCGTAAATATAATGTTTCTTTCTGAAAAATAAAGGGACGGGTTACTATATTGAGGATGAATGTCAATGAAAAGGCAGAGTTTCCAAAGTCTTCCCCCCCCCCCCCGGTGAAACCCGAGTCGCCTCCCAGAGTGGGACGTCTCGGGACGCCCAGCTTTCTTTCCCCCTCTTCCGCAGAGGAAAAGAAAGCCGGGAAAGCCCGCGGGGCAGTTCAGGCCGCCTCCGGAGGCTGCTTCGGGGCGAAGGTGAGAGTGAGAGAGGCTGATGGTTGAGGCTCCGGCCAGCCCCCCCCCCCCAACCACGCCTCCCCTGCCCGACGAATTCCCCGACCGAGGGCAGGGATAGAGAAGCAGCAGCCTCCGCCCCCGGCTCTCTTGACATTCAGGCCACCGTCCTGGCCTGAGGCTTTGCTCGCGGAGTGTTTATCTAGCCTGACGGCGTGATCGATGGCGAAACGCAGAGCTTTTATACACAAGAGGCCTCTCCGCCGACAGGAGACGCGGCCAAGGCCGGCTCTCCCGCCTTTGCCTTCGGCGGCGCTTCGCGGAGCTCCATGCCTATATTAGGTGGGTCGGGCAAGCTGCCCCTCGCGGGCCGTGGCGCCCGGACGGACCAATGAGAAGGCTCCCCAAGGGCAGGGTCCCTCCTCCTCGGGGTCCCGCCTCTCTACCTGCCTCCAGACGACGAGCCAAGGCTGGCCGCTTGGCCGGCGCGGCGCCCTTCGGAAGCCGGCGCTCGCTGGGGCACCGGCCGCAGCTCAGCTGCAGCGCCCACCATGTTCCCGAGCCCTGTGACCAGCACGCCTTTCTCGGTCAAGGATATCTTGAGTCTGGAGCAGCATCCCAGCGGCCTGGCCTCCCTGGAGCTCTCGGCCTTGGGCTCGCCTTCCTCCTGCATGCTGGCCACCTTCAAGCAAGAGTCCTACCCGGCAGAGGACGGCCCCCTCGCCGAGGCCCCGGCCGGCCTGCCCAAAGGCAGCGGCAGCGGCAGCACTTTTCCCGGGCCCTTCTTCGCCAAGAGCTACGTGGAGATAGAACCGACCAAGGAGCCGAAGGAGAGCAAAAAAGGTAGCCGCGGGGGGAGGGAGGGAGGGAGGGTCAGCCCGCGTCCTCCGCCCGCGTTGCGGGGCCGAAGCATCTTCGGCCACGCCGGATCCCTGGGGGAGAGGGGCGCTTCCGAGGAGGGGATGTCCGGGGAGGTGTCTGTGGGTGGGAGCCCTGAGCCCGCCTCTGCCTTGCTGGGCCATTCCGTGTTGCCGCTCCGGGACGGGGAGAGACTATAGGAAGGTTAGGGAACAGTAACCCCAACGTGGATGGCGGTCGACTTCTGGTGGCTGGAAGGGATTGTAAGTGGAGCATTGACAAAGACGCCTTCGACTCTGTTCGATCCTGTATAGGCTGTATAGGCTATAGGCTGTATAGGGGGCTGTATAGGGGCTGTATAGGGGGCATGGCAACGTCTCATCCCTCCCCTAGTGAAGATCCCTCTGTTTCAATATCCTTAGACTCCTATGTGGGGGGACTTGCTGTTTTTGTGACAAGTAACTGGTGACAATCCAAGTAGACACTGTGTTATAATAATCAAGGTTAATACCGGCGATGCGGAAGAATTATACTTAATTATACTTATACTAATCCTACCATCGCTCTTGAAAATGTCTTTCGCCGCCCTTGTTTGTTGCATTCCTTACAACGACCCCTGAGAGGGGTTCAATGTTACCATATTTATCTGAAAGGAAGATTATCCGGAATTTGGAATGGCTGCCCAAGAAAAATTTAGGCAGAAAAAAAAGCACTCTTCTGACACTATCTTAACCTCAGTGGATCTAAGATAAAACTCCCTCCCCCATTTTAAAGGTCAATTATCCAAGAATAAATTAGTCTTTCTTTCCCTTGAAGTCCAGAATATTTGGAGTCAAAAATCTCTGCCCTAAAATTACCTTATTGAATCCTTCCTGAGTCCTTGTTCATAAATTCTGACCCTACTACTACAATATTTACTCAGCTGCAGTAGGATTGACATTCAAAGATGTGTAGGCAATGCCCAAGTATTTAGAAACTACAGAGTTTCTACAGAGGTATCCCACCACCTCCAAATCCCTTCATCTCAGAGGTATCCCACCACCTCCAAATCCCTTCATCTCATTTTGAGCAAGTCCCCAAAATAATTGAGGGGCTAATAATGAATATTTTAAGAAGCGCTGTGATTTTTCATTCTTCAAAATTTAGTGAAAGCTAGTTTTTGTTTTTATTAAGCATGAATCTATTTAAACAGCTGAATTTAGTGATTATGTTGTTATTGTTACTAAATGCTTGCTACTGAGCTCTCCTTTCAGAGTAGGATATATACAGTATATTCAGGGTTCACGATAGCTGGATAGCTGCATCAAAACAGTTATAGCACAAAACTGTTTATACTGAGAAGCAAATCTGTTGAGTTGTTTGGATTCACTCATGGCTGAAAATGTCTAAGTTTGCATCCTAAGGCTGTTGAGAATATGTTTTATTAACCTGGGAAAGTCCCACTTGATCCCAATGGGATTTGCTTCTGAATACACAGGCACGGGTTTCCAAATTGCACCACTCACTTGCTTTGGTTCCCACTTTGTTCTCTGGTCTCTGAAGACTTCTTGAGACTTTGGGACAGATTTTTCTCTCCCAAATGCTACAATAACAGAAAAATAGAATTCTCATGAACTGAATTTTTCTGGAACAGATTCCTGGGCAAATATGCTAATTATCTCCACCTGAGATGGAGTGAAATGTTAAGGTCATCAAACCAGGAGAATGACAGTCCATAAAAATGTTAAGTTCTTTTGGAGCAATCCTCTTCTGGCATTAATCTTGCTCCCAAGGTTATTGGAGTCAAGCTGAACTTGGATCCCATTTTTTGACCCCTTAAACTGCTATCTACTGCACACTCACTTGGGAGAAGACCCCAACTTCTCTCCATGTAAGGTGGGGAGAGACCAGTAGTATTCCAATGGAATGCACGGCCGGCCGTGGGTGCCAACCTCCCAGAATCTCCAGGGATGTTGATTTAATCTCTATTGGAAAAATGAATCGAGGATTCATTGGACATTTCATGGTCTTTAACCTTTCCAAAGTGAGAACGTTCAACCATTGGAGCATTATCTTATGCTGTTGCCAGGAGATAATTTGTTCAGGAGGAATTAGAGCTGGTCTGTGTCTTTCAATGCTGGCCCCATATACCTGGCTACAATGCCCCTTTTCAATGCCCCCTAAGCAAATCAACTGAATTGGCCATGAACTTCTTAATTAGCAATCTCCTCTACCTTGGAGTACAATAGGAAACAGACTACACGACACTCGGGGTTCTCAGACCCCAGTCCTCTAATTTCCCACTTAAGATAGTTACCAACTTTCTCTTCCCTGCTTTACTGGCAACCTGTACTGAAAATAGCACCCATTGATCTGAAAGCTGGTGAAAGGAATATCCCTGTTCAGGTGACCTATCTCTTAGTTGGAAGGAAGGAAATCCTTAATTCCTTCACTCTCACTTCAGTTTCTCAGGAAGGAATCAGAATGCAATTAATGGTGTGACTTTGCTTCTGGAAAACACCCAGCATCTTGACTTTGTATATTTATTCTGGTATAAGCCCTAGGTTTCAGCAAGAATCAACCTATGTAGGTCCCATTACGCATATACTTTAAATTGTAGAAATTAATGAACCAAAAAAATAATAATGATGGGCCTACATATAATTAAAAATGAGTTTAATATTTAGCAGTCCTTTGCTTGCATTGATTTCAAACCATTTTACTCTCAAGTAAATGTTCACAAGACTGGGGACTGAAAGGTCCTGAGATCTAATTTTTTTTGCCCTTATCTGTAATTCCACTTCATTTATATCTGAAGTGGAAAAAAGTTCTGCTAATTTCAGTCTGTTTCTGGGAATATGCAAATTAAAATCCACGCCTAAGCCCAAATCACATACTGGACAGAGAGTTGGATTGTTTAACTTTAGCTAATTGTTTGTTAGCTACAATTGGCTGGATGCACACAACATGCAGCAAAAGTGTTTTTCAAGTATAAGTAATAATAGGGAAATAGAATTCTGGTGTTTTTTTTTCATTGACTGAATTTATTTAATGGAGCTGCTTGAATTTGCTAAGAAGGCTTGTTATAATCACAGTAACAACAAATGGTTGTAGTAACAAATAACCTTAGGCATTTGTGGTCTGGAAGGAATTATGTATATTTCAGTTCTCAGCCTTGCTTGGAAATTAGACTGGAGCAATCTTTTTTCTCCCTTTTTTTGCCCAAATCATTTTTATTTGGTTGAATAAATCCTAGGGATTTCCATAGAGATTGTTTCCAGAATTTTTCTAGATTGAAGGGTCATTTTCCTGAGCCACACAGGTCAGTTTCTGTGGGAGCAAATCAGCCACAGTTAAGCACTTTAAACTCTCAGTTTTCTTCAGTTAGAAATCATTTCTCACTTCATTTGCTCTCCTACTTTGTTTGATCTGTGCCTCTCATATTAAATGGACTTCATACTGTAATTTCAGTAGGATTACATACTGCAATTTCTACTGAACTTCCGAAGGATGTTGTTACTTTCCAGGCATCTGTACTTTCTGTGTGTAACTGAATTGGCTCCAAAACACACCTAGCAGACTTAAGGGATACCTATATCCAAATGTCTGTGTGTGGGGGGGGTCTCCTTTCTGTTTTAATGAATGCTATCGACTCAAATCAGGCCAGCTTTACTGACTTATAGTTGTCCTTGGATCTGCAATCTTAGGGGAGAAATGTATGCCATTTATTTTGGAGTTGTACTGGAATAATTTAGACTTACTTTTAAACACCGCTAGTTTGGACAGCTCTGGGGGGGGGGGAGACAGAACAAAACCAAAGCGATCAAAGCAAACGGAGAAATCGTCAGAGATCCGTAAGGGGGGGGGGGTTAGACTGGGAGTGCTCAGAGATGGGTGGGGGGCCACGGCCAGCCTGAGATGTAAGTTTAGGGACTCTTCGGTGCCATTGTCATTCATCCACGGAATTCACCTCTCTTAGCGCGGTCTACCTACAAGGTAGTTGTAGAAATCGGCTGAGAGTAGCGAACGCGAAAGAGAGAGAGAGAGAGAGAGCCATCAAACCAAAGCGAAGGAAGGGAAGCCTCACCGGGCCCGGCAGGGCGACGGAGCGGCCGCGGGCGGGCGGGCGAAGGCCGTTTCCTAAAGCTGCCCTCGCCTTCCCCCCCCTCTGATCGCCGGTTCGGTTTCTCTGTTTTTGCCTTCCCGCAGAGCTGTGCGTCCTCTCGAAGTCTCTGGAGCAGGAGAAGCGGGAGGCCGAGGAGGCGGAGCGGCCCCGGCAGAGGAAGAGGCGGAAACCCCGCGTGCTCTTCTCGCAAGCGCAAGTCTACGAGCTGGAGCGCCGCTTCAAGCAGCAGAAATACCTCTCGGCCCCGGAGAGGGACCACTTGGCCAACGTGCTGAAGCTCACCTCCACCCAGGTGAAGATCTGGTTCCAGAACCGCCGCTACAAGTGCAAGAGGCAGAGGCAGGATCAGAGCCTGGAGCTGGTGGGCAGCATCCCGCCGCCCCGCCGGATAGCCGTGCCGGTCCTGGTCCGCGACGGGAAGCCCTGCCTGGGCGACTCGTCCCCTTACAGCTCGCCCTACAACGTCAGCCTCAACCCTTACAGCTACAACGCCTACCCGGCCTACGGCAGCTACGGCGGCGGGGGCGGCGGCGGCCCCGGGGCCTGCAACGCCAGCTACAGCTGCAGCTACCCGGCCGTGCAGAGCGTCCAGCCCTCGGCCGCCGCCGGCAACTTCATGAACTTCAGCGTGGGGGACTTGAACCCGGTGCAGACGTCCATCCCGCAAGGGAACGGCGGCCTTCCGGCCTTGCATGGCATCCGAGCCTGGTAGGGGTCAGAGGGCCAGAGGCTTTCCGGGGTGGGGAAGACTCGGCTGCAGCCCGGCGCCTCCTTCGGAGAAGCGGCCTATACACGATGGTCCCGGACCTCAGAAGCCGAGAGCGCGCGCCCTTTTCCGCGCTGGGTGGTGCCGGTGGGGGTCTTTGGACACGGACGGGTGTGTGTGTGTGTGCGCGGAGGTGGGACCGCCGACTACTGCTCCAGCTTTCGACGGGCCACTTCGGATTTCCTTAGGACCGAAGTCCGAGGGAGGCCCGGCTTCTGGATAGATCGCACCTCGGTCCAAAGGCGAGAGGTGGCCGGACCTGTGTCCCTTCGCTCCCGCTTCGAAGTTACGTCTACCGCCACTCCCGAAGTCGCCGAGCGCTTGGCGTTAACAGGGGGGCGAGCTTCGTTTACGGATCCGCACCCCTTTCCCACTTTTTTTTTTAAAAATACCAGCTAAATCTGCCTATAAACCGCGAAGGACCTTTGTCGAGTCGACTTCCTTTTCCATACCAGCAGAGAAGACGGGCGCCCCCCTCCCATTTCTTTTCACCATTTCTTCAAAAGCCCGGGTGGCCAGGAGGCTTTTGTCTTGCGGGAACTACTCCTGGTTGATTAGTTTTCCTCGAAAGGCCGGCCGGCCGCCCTTGCTTTCCGGTGCGAGGCGGTGGGAGGCAGAGGGTCGGCGCATCACCCGCCCGGCCCACCCCAGGAGGAGAAGGCGCAGGCTGTTTTGTGATTCCCCCCCCCCCCGTAGACTTCTGCACTAAATCGGTTTGCTGAGAGTATGAAATGCACTGCCCGGCCGTGGCGTTGACTTCTTTCGGGATGGGGGGGGGGGGAGGGCGTTGGTTTCTGTACCCCGACAAAAAAAAAAGAACTGATGTCTTCTCATTAAAAAGAGTGGCTTGAATTGGGGCTGCTGATGTGTTTCCTTGGCGCTCCTTCGGAAAACAGTTTGCTTTTAGTTGGAGTGGGAGAAATGACACCCCCCCCCCGGCTAGGGAAATACCGCGATGGAGCCACGATTCTCACGAGTCTAATATCCCGCCGCCCCAGTCCGAAAGGTGCCTTCTTGTAACTCGCAAAGCCTGTGAAGTCCCACTGAATTTCTTTAGATGCAAATGACTCCTTTTGCTTACTGTAGGTAGGTAGGCTCGCAAAAGCCTCCCGCTGTTGGAATTTCCAAAGAATTTGCAGTGCAATAGAGTCAAAGCAACAGTAGCCGCAGACGCTTAACCCGCGCGGGTGGCCGCGTCCTCTATCCGAAACCACAGGCCCAAAGGCCTTACCGGCATTAATTTAGAAGTAGGCCTTAGATCTCACTGTGCGAAGAGGCCTATTTGCATAGTCGGTGGCGCTCTGCTCCAAAGGGCTCCTACACAAAAGGCTTTTTAGTCCTAGATTTGCCTATAAAAGCAGGAACTTGGAATGGCGATTGTAGTCCGATGCACTTTTTCTCGAAAATTATTCAGACATTTATTAACCTACGTCAGGGGTTGGCAACCTCGGCTCTTTTATGACTCATGGACTTCAACTCCCAGAATTCCTGAGTCAGGAATTCTGGGAGTTGAAGTCCATGAGTCATAAAAGAGCCGAGGTTGCCTACCCCTGACCTACGGCCATTTGATGCAACCAGTACCTAATCACCATTAATACGCGGAGCACGGCTATCAAAAGCGAAACAATTACACCCAGCTGGCACGTTTTGCGCGAATCCACCCAAAGGGCCGCCTGAAACATACAAACAGGCAACAAGCCTCCCCTCCCAGTATAATGGTATCTAAATTAGTGGTGAAATAACTCGGATAACACTATTCAGACATTCTCTAGTCTCCGGGCTATTAACCCATTGTAATGTGTAAGTAGTTTTAACGTTTGTACGGTAAGCCAGTGTTTCTCAACCTTGACAATTTTAAGGCATGTGGACTTCAACTCCCAGAATTCCACAGCCAGCATTGCTGGCTGTGGAATTCTGGGAGTTGAAGTCCACATGCCTTAAAATTGTCAAGGTTGAGAAACACTGCGGTAAGCCACCCAGAGTTGTCTCTGGACAAGATGGGCGGCACCTAAATTTAATAAATAAATAAACCACCCAGAAGATCGGGCTCTGCCTGAGGAGCGAGTGGGGGGCAATGACGCTGCCTCCGAAGGGGAAGGTGCCACCCAAGCTGTTTCGAGGTCTGGTCTTTGCAGATCAGGACCCTTCCAAACGAATCGAGCCTTTAGCTCGATTCGCGGAATTTCCAGCTAATCCAGTTCGCTGAGCATTATGAGAGCTGGAGTCCCCAAGACCACTGAGGGGGAAGCCAGCCACAGGGAGTCCCACTTGGCCGAGAAGGATGCTGTGTTCTGTAATTTAAGGCAAGTCAGTAAAGATCAGCACCCACAGGTGTTTTTTTTTTTGGGGGGGGGGGGGTCTCTCTTATTATCCGACAGTCGAAAGAACCTGAAAGCTCCAAATTTGCTTCTTCCCCCCTCCCAAAAACAAATTCCTCTTTTTTTTTTAGACCAAGATAATAAAGTCAAACTTCTTGTAATCAAACTCGGCTTCTGGGAGTTATTATCTAGCGCTGTGATTTCCTGGTGGCCTTTCATCCAAACCTTAGCCCGCTCTGGTTGTCTTTGATTTCTGATTGCAGAAAAGCCTGGCCAGCTGCTGTCTGCCCCCGGTCAAGTTGCCGTCGCCTTTATTGCTTGCCGCGATTCTTAAACAGCTGCCTGCGAGAGGCAGTGAACTACGGTTTCCATGCTTCCCAATGGATATGGCCGCTGGGGAAGTGGATGGTAGGAAAGATAAGCCTCGGACTTTAGTGAAATGTGTATAAATATTCTGAGGAAGCGGACTGGGCGACCAATCGGCCTCTTTAAGGCTGGTCTCCTTGTACTGGCTGCCCGAGACTGACGGGGACGGGGACTGGGACTGGGGTTGGGGTAACCCCGTTTCTTAGACTACCGAGCAAGCATTACAACAGGGGTAGTCAACCTTGGCTCTTTTATGACTCGTGGACTTCAACTCCCAGAATTCCTGAGCCAGCTAAGCTGGCTCAGGAATTCTGGGAGTTGAAGTCCACGAGTCATAAAAGAGCCAAGGTTGACTACCCCTGCATTACAACGTTAACAGCCAAAAAAACGAGGTGGGCAGCTTTGACCCTACGACTCCAGAGTCCCCGCGGGGAGACGGTCCCGCCAGCTTCGAGGACCTTCGGGCGCAAAGGTAGGCGAGGGAAAGGCGAAGCGTGGGCTGCTGTGGCGTTTGCCGGCGCCTTGAATCTTTCCAACGAGAGAGGACGGCCGCCGCCTTAAGAACAGCCTCCGCGGAGGCAGGCGCTGTCACCGCGCCCGAGCAGGACCGACCTACTAAGTCCTGCCCCTTAAATTCACGTCCGAAGCTCACACGGCCCTCGGAAACCTGTCTCGAAATCGGACTCAACGAGAAGAAAAAGGGCACCTCCCCACCGGTGTGCGGGTGGGCCCTCCGACCCTCTCCCCCTCCGTCGCTTGCCTTCAGGAGGCGGTTGCACCAGGCGAGGCGGCGGTGGGAGACGGTTGGTGGCTCGCTTTTCCGGGAAGAGCGCCAGGAACAGCCGAAAGAGGCTCTGGTGGGAGCTGTTTTTCCATATACCTGGAGGGCGCCAAGGGTTTTTTTTTGGGGGGGGGGGAGGAATAGGGGATATTTGGGTGGACCAGTTGAGCAATAGCAAGGACGAAGTTGCTACAGTCCAGTGGAGGATCTCCCTTGGAGGGCTGCCCCCCCTCCCTCCCTCCCTCCTTCCCGATTCCCACCCAGCTCCTCCTTGGCTGCGCGTCGCCATCCTTGTTTACTGATGGGCTCGATAGCGAGCAGGCTCCCTCGTCCCCCTAATGGCGCTCTGAAGCGCCTCGGAGCCCCCCAGGATGTTTTGACTGCGTCGGATTGTTCTGTTTGTTGTTGGTGCACTCTCTCGTTCCCATCCCTGACATCCGAGAAGGGGTTTTTTTTTTTTTATCACCGGCAACCCCAAGCCCAGGACTTCCATCCGGATTTTTCTCTCTCCCACCACTCCCTCCTTCCCGCCTTCCCTCCCCTCCCCCGCCATTCTAGCAAGCTTTATATTGAGGCTGCAAAACAAGGAAGGGAGAAAAAAAAATCACTCAGGTTGTTTTTCAAATTTTGGGAAGTTTGCCCAAATAAGCAATTTGCCCCAAATTAGAACACTTCCCTGTTCTTCCTTATATTAAGGTGACCTTTTATTTAAAAAAAGAAGAAGGAAGGAAGGAAGGAAGGAAGGAAGGAAGGAAGGAAGGAAGGAAGGAAGGAAGGAAGGAAGGAAAGTTAAGATGGTGGAAGAAGTGAATTAAATCAGCCCTGGTATGAAGAAGGTGGGTAGAGTTATCTTCCCTTCTACCTGGTACAATTTTTTAAAGATAAACTTGGAGCAGGCAAAAGATCCTACTTAGTCAGACAGCGTATTTGGAGTGGAATTCAGAACCTCAGAATGAAGTAATAGCCTAGAATCTTGGTCACCGAGAAAGGATGGCTACCAAAGGGCACAATTGTTTTTCAGGAGAGTCAAATTCCTATGGGCCAGTTGAAAAAAAAAAAACACACGAAAAAAACTGGTCTAGAACTGATCAACCGGCTCTCTGCCTAGCTTTGGATTCTTATTTTCATTTGTGATGCCCCAACATCTGCAACTGAAAGGCAGACGGTCAAAGGTACAGGGAAACAATATAGATGGAGTAGCCACTGAGATCTTCTCTAGGAATTCATCTATAAAGGTGAGAGTGAAGGAGGAAACCTTCCCATTGAATATAGTTTGTTTGCCTGTTAGTTTCAAGCAAAATATGGTAATTTGAGCCTGGTCCTTTCTATTTCAGGTAAGAACTCTGGATTGATTTGTTCTTTGATTTGTTTTCTTGACTGTTCCTGGTATGCTCAAGAGTTTTTTCCAATACCATATTAGTTCAAAATCACCAATACTGTTCCTACCTTGCTTCTTGGTAGTCCAGCTTTCACTACTATTC